AATAATTTACTTAACAACATAATTATGTGTTTTTCATTTTGGAAATTCTAATAAAGTATATTTGCTTAACTGAATCCAAATAAAAATTAATTAATCACACAATTAAATAATCACGTGACAGGTTGGGACATGAATATATATATATATATACTTTAGAACTTCACACCTTCAATTAGATATTGAAGATTAACTTTTTGTAGACAGTAGTGAATCTAAAAATATTTTTTAAGGTGAACACATATGTATTAATAAAAAAAATTCATACGAGGTGAGCACAAATAAAATTTCAGGATAAGTACATTCTATAAAAAATCATGAGTTCTACATACATCAGTACTTATAGATATACAGTTGATATTTATGATTGACTTATCATCAGATATCTAGAACTTCAATCATCTTTTTTATAAATTCACACTCCAAAACTTCTAATATATTTTTTTAGAATTCACACTTTTCAATATAAAAATATGCCTATGTTCTTTAATTTTCAATCTATCTTGTATTAGCGTCACTCCATCCATGGGTGGAACGCTTAGATTGATCGTTTAGACTTTTAGACCAACATGTATATCCCCCGCCAAGCAATAGGTTTCAACTTTTCTTTTATTCAACTTAGAGACTTTATCAAAGACTATGTAAATAGTAATAAAGCTGGAATAGCTCAGTTGGTTAGAGCGTGTGGCTGTTAACCACAAGGTCGGAGGTTCGAACCCTCCTTCTAGCGTAATTGTTTTTTACTTTCTTTTGGTTACGTGCACCTAATAGAAGTCTATTTAACCCAAAATCCAATATATGGGTTAGCCCAACAGTGAGATAGATTTCTAAACTGTAACCCAATGGTCATCCCAAATATAGAGAGGGGAAAATATTGTATTATTAATTATAAATTTTACTTATAAATTTCATTTTTACTTTTATTTATTTTTTATAAAATAAAAATATTTAAGAGGAAATTATTATATATATAAAATATTAATAGATAAGAGTATTTTGTAACCAATTAAAAATATAAGGTCTGTTAAAAAATATAAGGTAAATATAATGATAAATAACTTAAATATATGAGTATACAATTTATAGGTAAAATAATATAAAATGATATGTAACGTAAAATAAATAAAAAATGATATATAACATAAAATAAATATTTATTTCTGATATTCAGTTCCTTTATATTAGAAATAAAAAATAAAATAAATTTGATAATGAAATATAGTAGTAAAATTTATAATAAAACATTTTCCCCTTTATTTTTAGAATAACCTCTGGGCTACTGGTTAGAAATGTAATGTAGTATATACCGTTGGGCTTAACCCAACATTGAATATTCGGTCGGGCTGTGGAGGGGAAATTTTGGGTTTTTTGGCCTAATAGGGCAGCCCAGAAAAAATTTGCAAAATAGGCCACATACACTTCTATTTTAGGATTACAAAATTTTCTACAGTGCATAGAACTTGTCATCTTAATGTAATGAGTTTAAATAAAAATATTTTTATTCAATTTTTTAAGTTCGATGTGATAAATTTTAATAAAAAATTATATTTTATTGAAACTCGTCACCTTGAGGTATTCTCCAAAATAAAAATTATATTTTATTAAAACCAGTCACCTTAAGCATTCAATTTTGGGATCATTGTAACATTTTTCGTATTCTCCTAAATAAAAATCCAAACACCTTAATGGGCTAAATAAAAAACTCAGAATCCATAATGGGCCAAAAAAACAAAAAATTTTGTTAACGCTAAAATGATTCTTATCAACATATTCTTTAATATGATGTCTCTTTTCAAGCAATAACTACTTTTAAAAAAAAAATACTATTTATTTCAAAATTAAATATTTTTAATAAATTTGAATAATCAAAATATGATAAATGTGTTATTCGATTTTAATATAAAATTTAAATTTTTTATATGTTATTAAAATAAAAGGTTTAATTTTACATTAAAAGAAGGACAAGAGGTATCGTCTCTTGGATTATCATCCGCGCTTCTAAAGTAGTTAAGACAATAAAGCAATTAAAGTTAATTTAGGGGAAAAAGATAGCGATAGGTGTGCTGTAAAGGTTGCAGGAATTACAAACCAAGCTCTTCCAATCAATTAAATTGGTTTGGTCGAGACTCTTCATGAAAGCCAACATTCACAACCATTTCTTCACAAATTACTATGTTTACCCATCATCATTTATTAAAACAGTGAAGCATAAAAAAGTAATATTGAAAGAAAACCAGTCCTATCAAGAATTTAAATATATAGATCAAAAGCACAAGAACTATTAGCACGTGAATTCAAAGCAAAGCAAAACGATCAGAATATGTCAGTCACATAAGCAAACTTTTTATTCTCTTTAAAAACATATCTCAACTAAATGCAAAACCAACACAAACTTGCATTACAGTCAGCAGATAAAAAGGAGACTTTTACCATTTGTTTTTAGTTTCCGCATTAACCGAGTGAAGCCTCACTTTGGGTCAGTGAAGAAGCTGTTGATACTGGGCATGATTTCAGGCGCCTTGTTGCGGACATATTTCCTCAAGAAATGTTCCGCATATTTTTCTCACTCGCCAAGGTTATCCAAAACCCCAGCAGCCCTGTTCTCCTTGGTTACCCTGAAAACAAATATATTTTCAACACTTCAATTTCTTCGATAAATACCAAATCAAAAATCAAACCGGTATATATCATCTAATCCAATATCTTTTAAACCGACTGGGAATATCTACTATATTCCTGTTAGATATTGGCTAAAACTCTAACTAAAATTATTTGAGTCAAGTCGATCAGATGAAACTCTTAACGGTTTTTATATTTAATACTTAAATATTTAACTTCTTTTATAATCCAGTTTTCTTTAAACATTGGGCCTATAATTTCCCCGGGGTTGTCGTGGAAGGTTAGGTCCAAGGGTGGAAGCAGCCTTTTACAAGATTCACATTCTGGTGAACACTATATATATTTCGAGTTCTCCAAAATTTTAATTAATATATTTTGGAGCATGAATTTGAATATTTGGATTTTCTGTTATATAAAGTACAAGAATAAAATGCATATATTATGCATAAATTAATTAATTGAGATTCAGTGAAATAATATATTTCAAAGGTATAAAAACATTAATCTCCTATTCGTTCCTATATAAACATCTAATAAATATCCAAAAATTAAAAATAATTACAAATTTAAATCAAACATAAAATTTAAAACACAACGAATATTTTTGAAAAAAAGAAAAGAAAATTACCGTAAAAAGAGAGACACCTGACTTCAGGATTAATGCAGATATTACGCACCAACTGAAAACCACAGATCCCTACAGCAACACCAACTGCCGCGAACAGCGGATACACCTGCAAAGCACCCCCTCCCAAACCTCCGTTTATTTAGTATTTTTCTTCTTGTTATTTAATTAGATCTAAATATTTACTACAATCTAGAAAAAGAAAGAGCAAAAAAGAAGTTACTGATATCTACGCTATGGATCTGAGCTTACCTCAGGCCTCAACCATCAGTTTGCCATTGAGCGCACAGCAGGTAGCGAAATCTAAGCGATGTATAAGCCAAAGAGAGGACTGAGAGAGAGAGAGAGAGAGAGAGACAGAGAGAGAGAGAGCGTTTTGTCTTTTGAAATGAAAGGAAAATGAGAATACTTAACTTCTTTTGGAAAAATTCCCACGAACGGCTCCCATGGCATCCAAAGAATCCTGATCCATTGGATAAGGCCCATGAAACCTAAGCCGTTGATAAAGTGTAAGCTTTAAAATTTTAATCTGAACTGAAAAAGAAATGTAGCCCCATGAAATTGTGTAACCGGTTTGACAATGTAATCACGAAAAAGGATTTTTTTTATTTATTAAATAGAGATATAAATTTTAATCTCTGATCAATTAATGGATAAAATATGTATTTCAAAAAAGACGTAGTGATAAAAGTAACCTCAATATTTATATATATGATTATTTTATCCCATAATTTTTAGTATTTTAACTTCAACGTCTTATTTTTAATTAAAATAATTTTTATTAGATAAAAATCGTTAATTGACTAAAAATTATTAATGTTATATTTTTATACATATTTAATTGTTGATGTGGAATATGCATTGATGTGCATCACCAATTTGGTGACATAACACATTATATGTTATCATTTTAAATAACGTGATACACATTATTTTATATGACATAATAAATGACACGGATGACATGATATAGACATATTTCACGTTAAAATTTTAAGTGATGTGATAGATATTGTATTATTTTTTCGAATGATGTAATATATGTCACATTATTATTTTGAATGAAATATTATATGTCATATCATCACCTTATGTGACATGCAATATCTGCCTTCATTTTAATGAGGCGCAGGACTACTAAGACACCCGGCTTTGAAAGCGCAGTAAGATGTGAATCAGCTAATGATGTTGCACATAAACTGTCCAATTGGGCGCTAAAAGTGTAATGTTCCGATTTGGTTTAATTACGAGCATTCGAAATGTATTTCTTTACATATTATTCGCAGTTAAATTAATATACTTTCCGTCTTTCAAAAATAATAGTAATTTGCTGCATTTAAAGTTGGCCTGCATTTCATAAAATGTTTAGTAATATGAAGTTGGCCTGCATTTTATAAAATGTTCAACGACCAGCACTTGAACAAGACGACAGTATCAACTTTATTTAATTCTGAAGTTGGGTATTAACATCAAAAACTTTTATATTGTCTGCCAATGTCATTGTATTCTTTAATGCATCCTTTTTAGTGTACACTTGGGCGCATCCCCTTTCGCTTGGAAATAAACGTCCAAACATAACAAACCAAACCATAAGGCTGAAGAAATCGTCAGTCATCACCAGGTTTAAGGACCATTCTGAAGTAATAAAATATTTAGGCCTCGAAAAACCATTGTCGCCTTCATTCATCTCTTCTGTGCCTGTCTACAGACTCCATTGGCTATCTCCATCTCAGTTTCATCCAGTCCTCTTTCTGCAATACAAAATCAGTCTCCTGTTATGAAAATCTTCCTTTTCTCTCTTCTGTTAATCTCTTATGCCGAGTCACTTCCCTTAAACTTCACCGGTTTCAGTCCGAACATGGGAACCATTCACTTCGAAGGCGACGCTTTCTCGTCGCAAAATGTTCTACAACTCACCAAGAACGATGCTATTGGCAGCCTCACCGGCAGCGTTGGACGCGCCTCGTATAATCAACCGGTTCGCCTTTGGGATGCTAGTAATGGGAAGCTGACAGATTTCATCACCCATTTCTCCTTCGTATTACGAGCGATCAATCTTAGTTTCTATGGTGATGGAATATCCTTCTTTATAGCACCTTTTGACTCCAAGATCCCGCCCGACTCCAGTGATGGGTACCTTGCTTTGTTCGATGGTAACCAAAACTCTAACTCCTCCAGCAATAATATCGTTGCAGTTGAGTTTGATAGTTACAAAAACGATTGGGATCCGGATGATAATCATGTTGGCATCAACATCAACTCCATCGTCTCGGTGAAAAACGCGACATGGAACAGTAGCATCAGGGATGGAAGAGTAGCAAATGCATGGGTGAGTTACAACTCCACCTCAAAAAATCTCAGTGTTTTTCTAACCTATTCTAATAATCCGGCCTACAGTGGGAATTCAAGCCTTTCATATATTGTTGATTTGAGGGATGTTTTGCCAGAATGGGTTAGAATAGGTTTCTCGGCATCTACTGGGCGTGAAGTTGAGATTCATAAGATTCTTTCTTGGAGTTTTGAGTCAAGCTTGGGCACCAGTGGGAAGAGGAAGAACTTGGGACTGATTGTTGGATCGTGTGTAGGTTTTGGTCTAGTGGTTTGTGGGTTAGGTTTGTTTATCTGCATCATGTGGAGAGTGAGGGCACGGTTGAAGGACAGTGAGGCCATCGATATCACCATCGACGACGAGTTTGAGAAAGGGACGGGGCCAAAGAGGTTCACGTATAACGAACTGTGTCGCGCGACGAATAGTTTTTCCGAGGAAGGGAAGCTAGGAGAAGGAGGATTTGGAGGAGTCTACAAAGGGTTATTAATCAATTTGAACACCGAAGTGGCGGTAAAGAGGGTTTCAAGAGGATCAAAGCAGGGGAAAAAGGAGTATATATCGGAGGTGAAGATCATTAGCCGTTTGAGACATAGGAATTTGGTTCAACTTCTTGGCTGGTGCCATGAGAAAGGTGAACTCCTACTTGCCTATGAATTCCTTCCCAATGGAAGCCTTGATTCTCATCTATTTGGTGATAAAATCATGTTAACTTGGATCGTAAGATACAAAATCGCACTTGGTTTGGCCTCAGCCCTGTTGTATCTTCATGAAGAGTGGGAACAATGTGTAGTTCATAGAGACATAAAGTCCAGCAATGTAATGTTGGATTCCAACTTCAACGCAAAGCTCGGAGATTTTGGTCTTGCAAGACTTGTGGACCATGACATGGGTTCACAAACAACTGTCTTGGCCGGCACCATGGGCTACCTAGCCCCAGAATGTGTCACTACCGGCAAGGCTAGCAAGGAATCCGATGTCTATAGTTTCGGGGTCGTGGCCCTCGAAATTGCATGTGGAAGAAAGCCGGTTGAACCAAGGGCAGAACCAAGCAAGGTAAGGCTGCTAGAATGGGTCTGGGACCTCTATGGAAAAGGCCAACTACTTGAAGCTGTCGACAAGAGATTAGGCAAAGTCTTCGATGAGAGGCAAATCGAATGTTTGATGGTAACCGGGTTATGGTGCTGCCATCCGGATTACACTCATCGCCCTTCTATAAGGCAAGTGATAAGTGTCCTAAACTTTGAAGCTCCATTGCCTAGTTTGCCATCAAAGTTACCAGTACCGATGTATTACGCTCCTCCGATGAGTCTCTGCAAGTTTACATACACATCATCATTCACAGGTGTCACAGATTCTGAGAAATATCAGACTCAATTTTCGTGCAGTAGCTGCTCTACTCATACAAATTCGTCATCAGCTGCAGGTTCTGGAAAAGCTCTTTTAAGTTCTCATAAGCCCTCAAGTAATATATCCCCTGAAACTCTCCATTAAATTCAAATATAAGTATGTATGAACATAACTTGAACATGTAATGTAACTTTGCGTCTTGGTTTCGTAATGCTTGAAAATGAAATAGTTCAGAGTGTATTTTTATTTATAAGCTTGTTGAAATCAAATTTCTGGAAACTTGTTCATGAATTCCCTTTCGAAACTTTGATTTCAGAATTTTAATTTAGATTTTATTGATGACATAAATTAAGTAAAAATATTTTAAAATATAACATTAAAGTTTTTTATTCCAATCGCGATAGTGTCCAATCGGCGTTCAAAGCCATTATTGGCATCATCGAGCACATAGCAATAGAATGGTTGGGTTGGTAAAAACTAAGCTTGCAGAAAGGGGCAATTTAGGGTTCCTGCTAAAATTGTCGGTTAACTGTTTCCGTTCAGACAAAGCTAAGTTCAGACAACTTCCAGATGTTTCTTCAAACTTCAATCTGGGGGTTTCCTCTGTTTTTCCTTCAACTACCAAACACTTTGGTTTCATTGAAGCTTATATGGATGCCAGTATTTTTGCGGCAAAATCGCTCTGGTAGTGCAGTGAAAAAAGAAATTTTCAAATGTGTTACCATAATTTTCTTTTTTCAATTATGGAGAAAATTAAAGATTCATCGAAAGACGGTTGGACGATATGACGTTTTCACAAGATGACCAGACAATACAGCATCTTCTATGTAGAAGTACAGAAAGACACTGTAATTTCGACATCTTCATCGAATACACACTTTAGGATATTATTTTGATAAGTGGTGTTATGTTTATAGAACGTAGTTGGAATTGTAGTGCATCTTCGGTAAAAATGCCTATTTTAATAGAGTATAGTGTCTTAATTTCATAAAAATAAAGTAAATAAATAGGTGTTTATTATTTTTAATATTATATTTTTAGGTATATGAACTGTAACGGTTGTTAAATTCGTCCATTAACTGACACGTATCATGCATATAAATTTTATTTTAAAAAATACTTAAAATTATTATTTAAAAAACCCAAACTTCTTTGGAAATTATTAAAAATTTAAAATTTAGAAAAAACCCTAATTTCAATACTCTTACCACTGTCGACTCCGCCAACCAGTCCAAATTCAAACGGCACGTGAATGCTCGAACAACCAACATTCAAACCCTCACGCTTTAAGTGACGATTACAACGAAAAATAGGCAATTAAAGTAACTAACTGGTTATGGTTGAGAACGACTATTTCAACGATTCAAGCCCATAATACTTTGAAATCAAGTTAGATGAAGTAGCTGACAACAAAAAAATGACGACCAAGGCAAAATTGTCAGCGGACAACGTGAGAAAAAGGGTTTGAAATTATGATTTTAAAAGTTTTGAATCTTTTCTTTAAGATTTAGGGGGGAGAAATTAGGTTTTATGAAAAAAATCATATTTTTTATTTTGAAATAATTTTTTTTATAAATCTAACGTGTATAAGCTAATAACCGAATTTAATGATCGTTACAATTTATGCACTTAAAAATGTAACGTCGAAAACATTAAGTATCTTTTAATGAAAAATCTTTAAGAACCTAAAATTAACTTAGGGTATACTTTGAACAATTGTTTTTGCATTCAACCTTTAATTTAATCCTACAAACATAAATTCGTAAACATTTGAATTCATTTTTTTATTTATAAGTTATTGTTATACTATTTCAATTTAAATTAAATATTATCTTTAATCGAAAATCCGTATTAAAAAATTTTAAGTCTAAAATTTTAAATAACTTACTGAATATGTGAAACCATGAAAACATGAAATTATTAACCAAAATCAGGTACACGATAGAGGTCGGTCCAGATTAATCAAGACGAAACATTGAAACTGGAGAGCAACAAAAAAAAAATAAAATTCATTCAAACTTGTTCTTCGCTTTTATATATTTGGATCATGAATATATAAGTGTATCTATTTGTACCACGGATTAAATTATCTTAATAATTAAAATGATGATTGTTATTCTTAGAAATTTTAAGCATAATAACTATAGTAGAGATGATTAAATGCTTATTATCAAATGACTGAAAATATTTTAAAAAAATATTACTTTGTAAGTACTTATCTTAATTAAAAAAGTGTATCTATTTATGCATATACATGTAGATTTGAATAGATGTCCAACAGATATTTACAAGATAATAAAGATATCAACTTTCGATTATTTTTTTAGGTTTTGAATATCCAAGAGCCTGTCGTGTGGGATGGGCTGAAAAGTTTTAAACGAGCGTAGGCATATTTATTAATATATTATTTAAATAATTAAAAATATGGAATGGCTTCCTCCTCCACCTGGATGCATTAAATTAAACATTGATGGGGTTCATAAAATGGACTCAGGATTGACCTTATGTGGGGGCCTCCTCCGTGACCATTTAGGAAGATGGGTTTCGGGTTTCGCGAAATTTATTGGATGCTGTTCAGTCATTGAATCGGGAGTTTACGAGGGTTTGTGCATGACTTGGAGGTTGGGTTTGAAGGAGCTCATAGTGGAAGTCGATAGCAAGGAGGTGTTCGCGATCATTGACAGGGATCCGAAGCTTGTTGGAGCTTCGTCTTTAACGCCACATATCCATGAGCTGCTGAGTAGAAGCTGGAGCTTGGCGTTTTGGTATGTGCCACGCGAAGGAAACAAAGCAGCCAACAGCATGGCCAAATTGGCTTGGACTTCACCTACTGGCCTGCAGACGTATGCGAGTTCACCCTTGGATTCTGCTGGTTCATTGTGTATGGAACTAAACTAGTGCATTAGCGCCCCTGATGCTTTTCCTCTCTATTATTAAAAAAGTTAAAAAATATTTTACCTTTAAGAGTATTGTACTAAACAGCATAAAATGCATAAAAAATAAAAGTTTGATTCATTTATTGTGATTTTAATGTACGGCGTGGGATTGGTGTTAATTACATATATGGTTCGAAAAAGTTTCTTTATTAACCTCATTTTTTCCTAATAAAAGTTATTTACAACTTAAACGATTACTTTTTCCTTTTTAAAATCTTTATTTTATTTTTTACTTATTATGTAAGATTCATTAATAAACTTGGATACTCAAAAGAAACTAATATAATTGATTCAGAATTTAAATTCAAAAGAATTAAAAGATATCTTAATTACATATAACCTGCATAAGCTGATGGTCGTTAAGAAGGAAAACAAAAACCCTAAGCCTAGCCAGGAGATTGATTGACTTCTTCTCTCTTTTTCCACTTCTGTTCTGAAACATTATTATGTTGGGGTTCTTACCATTTATGGTGATCCTAAAAACCACTCCTTAATTGATTTCCTTACCTTAATCTTTGGGATTCTCCCATTTAATGTTGTGAGGGAAAAAAGGAAAACACCATGAGTATCTAACTCTCAGAACGTTTGATGATTTACTGCATCAGTCCGCTGAGAAAGAATGGAGAAGGTGGTAAACAGTACTGCTCACCCCACTCACCTTTTCTTATGGCTAGTAATCATCATCGAGTTCTCATTGCTCTTTTCCTGGTCTTTTTCTGCTGAAATCTCGGCCAGGTTCTTTCTTCTTCTTCTTCTATGTATATGTTTTGCATTGCAGTTGCAGAGAAAGCATGGATGGAAATAGGAAGGGTCTTGAAGTCCTATTGCATAGAAAAAAGGGCAGAGTAAGAATACATTCCCTTTGCTTACAGCGTTCCAAGTTTAGTATGTAATCATTATGGGAAAAAAATTGAGTATCATAGTATTACTTACTAAATGGAACTTGCACAGGTTTATACTTTATATGTTGAAGTCACCATCGAGGATCCTTCTGGTCATTTGTCAGAAATAAAATATAAGACAATGCCCAATTGTTGGAAATAAAACACTCACACAAACAACTTTTATTTAAACTCAAACAAATATTACAAGAGCACTCTCACTCAAAAACAAGAACTACAACTCACTCTTATAAGACTTTGCTTTTTCACTCGCTTAGAAGCTCTTAATTTTTCTTGATGCTTAAAACTAAAATAGGAAGGGGTATTTATACTACTCAAGAACAATCCTACACCACATAAATAAACTAATTTAAACCATTACAAATTCAACAAATATCTAACTCTCACCTAACTAAATTGATGTAAGCAATGACATCATTACTTAAATGATGTAAGCAATGACATCTTTAATTAAATGATGTAAGTAATGACATCAATTTAGTTTGGGTTTGGGTTTAGGATCCCATAATGGATCAAGTTTATGATCCAACACCCCCCTTAAACTTGATCTCGTGACCCCTAGTAGGTTCCTTAATCTTAAGAAGTCTTCGCTGGTCAGTGGCTTGGTAAAAATATCAGCAACTTGATCTTTTGACTTCACGTATTCAACTTCCACATCTTTTCTTGCAACACACTCTCTTATATAGTGGTAGCGAATATCAATGTGCTTGCTTCGATCATGGAATACTGGATTCTTCGCTAAGGCAATGGCTGACTTGTTGTCGACACAAACCTTGGTAGGCTCTTCTTGTATCAAACCAATCTCCTTCAATAGATTTCTAAGCCAAATTGCATGACAAACACATGAGGTAGCAGCAACATATTCCGCTTCACAAGTAGACAATGTGACAATCGGTTGTTTCTTTGACATCCATGTGAACGCAATATCTCCCATGAAAAATACGAATCCAGTAGTGCTCCTTCGATTATCTATGTCTCCACCCCAATCATTGTCGCTATATCCAACAAGCTTGTAATCATTAGAAACTGAATAGAACAAGCCAAAGTCAATTGTACCTTTCAGATAGCGAAGAATTCTCTTTGCGGCTTTAAAATGGGTGGTTGTTGGAGATTCCATGTAGCGACTAACCAATCCAACTGCGTGAAGAATATCAGGTCTCGTGCAAGTTAGATAGCATAGACTTCCTACCAAACTTTTGAAGAATGTTGGATCTACACTTTCGCCTTCTTCATGTTTGGTCATCTTGATCCCGTATTCTGCCGATGTGCTTATTGGCTTACAGGTCTCCATCTTGAACTTCTTCAG